AGGGGGGCTCTGCGCTGGGCAAGACTGCAAGGGCCCAGTGGCAGCAGCTCGTACACTCGCCTGGAGGCGAAGGAACTCATGGGGTGGGGCCTCTTAGTGCGAGCCATATCTGCTGATAGGCCTGCATATAGGCGAGGCCCCCCAGCCCCCGGTGTTTGTCTGCTGGGCCCATACCTGCCATGATCGGCTGGTACTGTCTGTTTATGATGGGCGTGTTTGCAGGACTAGAGATCGGCTGGCTCCAACCTCCTCGCTGGCTGAGTTCGTTTTGGCCAGATTGTACTGTCAATAACGGCGCGTGTAATGTGGCCGAAAAGTGTTTGGTGAACTCATTAAATGGCCAGACAAGGAAGTGATGAACAAAACCGTCTCTTTAATAAGAGAACTAAAACTAAACAAAACCATACAAGACAAGGTGAAACACAAAACTCACGGTCGGTATCAGTCCCAGGTCAGAGCCAGCAAACACATACATCCAGGGGAATCCAAAGTTCGTTGTCCAAAAGAGAAAGTCCGATAATCATACACCGTAGCAGTCCGTAACAAGTGGGCGAGGCAGGATAGAATAGTCAGAGGTAACAGTCCGGGATCAGAAACACAAAATACCAAAACCGAAGAAAATGCTGGAAAGTCAGAGCTGGGGTCTAGAACAATCTGGCAGCGTCCTTGTGGGAGGACGCTGCCTAAATAGAGGGGAACACAGGTGCAGGTAATAAAGGAGCAGGTAAAACTAATCTGAGTAAGGAAGAAAGTAAAAAGACCTAAGCTATGGTGAAACAAAACAGGAAGTAGAATCAAAATAAAAGCCTGACAGGAAACAGCAGAACCGAATCGTGACAGTAACTTGTTAGGAAAATCGTTTCACGTTGCTGTTTTGGCACAGCTGTGTTGCTGAAAAATGACACAGTGACTCTCACACTTAGCTAATAGCTCAGTCTGATTCTCCAGTTTAAACACTGTTAAATGCTCTTGAGCCATAAGTTATCTGAAATGAAACACTTTCTGCACCTAGCCCTCTAGCATGTTCATTCTTCCTCTGGTATAAATTAAATTAACTGAATCCTTTGGGCCAATTATAAATGAACATTTGTCCAGGCCATGGTATAAACAGGAGATCAATAGGTAGACAACAATATACTGTATCTCAGCTGGCGGTAAAAGATTTATTATCATGACACAGCAAAAAGGGATTAACTGGGTGTAGCTGGGCGTATGAATGTTATTTTTTGACTTATCTACAATGTTGGTGAATTATCATCTTAGATGTGACCTAAAGTTCAAAAAATGAGGTGTGTGTATGTTCTAGTATCTCTATGCAGAAGCAACTCGGTTTATACATGTCTCTCAAACTCTCACTCACGAGACAATATAAATATGTGATAGTTTAAGGATTTCCTTGAATTGTCATTATCTCCAGGCAGCTGCACGTTCGTGTGAGCTTGCCTGACATCCACCGGTGCAAAAGTGAAATTTTTCAACCGCACGTTTTTTTGTCGATATA